TAGAATAGGTTTCAGAGTAGCAGCTTGTCACAATATCAGTAATGATTCTCCAGGCTTCTGACTTTTTTTTTTTTTTTTTTTCCCTGATAGTGCTTGTCTTTGCTTCTGTTCTTTTCAAATAATCTAATTGCTGTTAACTATTTGGTTTTTATTTAGGAAAATTAGTCATGTTTTTAAGCGTGCACTACACGTAACCCCCATAATCTTACAGAAGGGGAGGAAACAGATTGTGACAAGCATAAATAAACAAAGAATAGCTGTTGTGTGACAGCAGCAGGCATTAGAAAGGAAGCCAACAGCAGGTCCTGTGAATGCTGAGATCACATCTGTCCGTGTGACTAGTGGTCAGGGTTTGGCTTGAATAATCCAAAGAAAGAGAGGGCAGTATTTTAACAGGTGGGTTAAAGAATGAATGAATTGAAATGTTTACTTCTGTTTTCTTTGATAAAATAGAAACGTAAAACACCCATAGCCTTACAATGGAATGAGCTCCATATTGTGTTCAGAGCCTAAAAAATAGAAACATGGGGTACAAAAGACATTCTTGATGTTCATGTATGTTTTTTTCTGCCTGAAAGATTAAAAAGAGCAGTCTTTTTAAAAACACATAATTCTGTGCAAAATAGTTTATTTAAATATATATATATATGTTTGAAGTCATCAAATACAATAGAAGAGGGACCTGGTTTTAACTAGAGAGGGAATGTGTCAAATTGGCTGTGAATAAGTGTGGTGAGTTTTCTATTTGGGGAGGCAGCAACAAGTTGTTTTTAAAGTACCTGAATGAGGGTTGAGTCGGTATACGACATCTACTAAATTAAAGGACTACAAGTCTGTCTCCTGAGTGATCCCTAGCAGTCACCCCTCTTGGGATCTTAGAGAGAAAAATATTTGAGTCTTTGTGCTTCCTGGCATAATGGCAAGGTATTATAGCAGAACCCAGGAAACCAGTCCAATCATGTAACAGAGCCTCCAAAGAAAAGGGAAATCAAAAAAGTTGTGCTCAGTAAAGGCAACTGACTGGTAATGGCAAAAGGTTCCTCATCACTGCATTGAGAGGACCAAGAGCTGTTAGTCTGGAAACAGCATACGTTAACACAGTTTATAAATCAGTGTTTTATCAACAAAAAGAGTGGTGGGTAAGCTAGTGTTAATGTCAGATTTATGTTAACATGCACCAAGGAAATCAATACAAGGTAACACTGTTTGCATAGGGTAAACAGATTTCTGGCATGCTTGCTGCTTTTGATTATCCAAAATCGTGTACACAGAACTGTGAGTTTGTAGTGCATTGTACAAACCAGAGGGTAGTTCTCCCGTGTGGAAAAACCAACACATTTCAATAAAGCATCAGAAGGAGCTTAGAGCCAATTTTCCCTGTTGCTTGGCACAAGGGTAGGGGCTGCCCTATGCTACAGCTTTTTTCTTTGGTTTGAATTTTACTCACTTGCACGTCAGCTTATTCCTGGGGCACTCTTTAACTCTGCCAGGAAAGTGTAAACTGAATTCTTTATGTGGAGGTGGAGGGTGTGGGGGAATTCTTAGACACAATCAAAATAAAAGCTTGTACAGAACCTGTTCTCAAGGGAAAAATGTGTATGTGAGGATGCTCAATTTTTTTTTTTTTTTTTTTTGCTGTGCAGTTATATCTGAAAGGCCATACGCAAATCTAGTCAGAAATAGTATTTGATCCCAATTGGATTGATTTCAAATGTTTTTTTGAAATCTGTTTTCTCATCAGTGGATGAAATTTTCATCAGTAGCAAACTCCAATGTATTTAATATAAATTGGGAGAATTTGCATCTCTGCAGCTCTGAGTATTCCCTTTCATACTGTGGCACTACCTGTTTTATACCTTTAATATCCTGTTGTTCTTTTAGTGCAACTTTTTCCTAGGAGAACTGTTAGTGTGCTTGCTCTCTTGCCCCTTAATGAAACATGGATTGTTTACAGCTAATGAAGCTCACTAATGAAGCCCATTTTAATTTGAAGCCTAATTTTCCTGGGCCCAACCAAAACCTATAAACCATCAAGAGCATAAGTGGGGCCTGACTAAAGGCCTGAGGATTTTCTGTCCTCAGTTCCCTCCCCTGCACTGCCAGAACTTCTTTCTTTTCATGAAGAACCAAGAATGTGGTGTTCCCAGCAGGACTGGGCAGTGGGGGAAGCAGAGGGGCTTTGACAACCTTTGTCTGCTGAACTAGTTGTCGTGGACCAGGGATTTGGTCTCTCAGCAATGTCTTCATGTCCTGAGGGCAGGGAACATCAAGCTTCATATACCCGTTCTCATTTTGCAAGAGTGCAAGCTTATTTTCTTGCATCCCCAGGTGTGGAGATGTCTCCTGTTTAGAAACTGCTCTATTGCATTCAATCCTTTTCACCTGTTTGGGAACTGTTTCATTAAAGCAAAAGCTTTCTCAGTAAGAAAGATACAGAATCATGTCACCAATGAACATATTTCTTTCTATTCCTCTCCTACTCTGAAACAGCAGAGTAGTTTTGTACACTGAACTGCTAGGTTGTATTTCCCCTTAGCAGGATCCATCTTCCAGATCCTGAGGGTGCACAGTGTCATTTTGTGGCAGGAAACTTTTTTACAGAGATTCCTCCTTACTTAGAAAAGTAAGAAGAAAAAAATATAACTTGTTGCTCTTTGCTTCAAGTTCATTCAAGACATTTCTTTCCAGACTGCCTAATATTTGGTTTCTGCACCACCGGATGGAAGACTTTTTTTTTTTTCCTCACTACTTCTCCCAAACCCATCAGTATTAATAATACAAATAATAAATCTAAAAAGGATTCCTCACCCCCCTTCCCTTACATGAAGAGCCTGTGTGTTGTGTTTTGGCTGATATAATATTTCTGCTTTGTTAAATTCAGAAGCATTTATTTTTCCTTCCATCATTCATTTTACTACATTAAGTTAGTGGTACTGTGGGGATTCAGTTGATTAATGACTAATTTCCATTCTGTGCATGCTCAAGAGGAACTTGCTCTCACAGTACTTGCCTCCAAAATAATTTAATCTAAAAAGAGAGAAGAGTTTTGGGGAAGCAAAACCTTCATGTGAAAACAAAAGCCCAGTAGAACTGCAATGGAAAACTGGGAAGTGCTAACTGCACTTGCATTGCTTTTCATGTACTTTCAGGGGCAGGAGAGCACTGCCCCTACAATGGATGCCTGTGTTTATGTATCCCCTTTTGACTGTCACAGCTTATGAAGACATTACTCAAACAATCAGTTGCTGTTCTGACCCACTTGGAGAGTAAACTTCTGCTGGTTTAGCTGGTCATCTGAATTCCTGGCCGCTTGTTTTGGTTTTCTCCATAGAGATGGAGAAAAGGATGGGTGAGCACACAATGATAATCTTCCCTGCCCTGAGAGGGAACAGAAGCAGAGATGGCAAGTGCATTACTCTATGTTGTGCTGCAGATTGGTTTGAGTTAAAAATAGATCCCAAATCCAACTGTCTGCTTAGTTCTTAATTTCTTCATATTCACACTTACAGTAAGTATGTGCATCCTGCTCCTGGTCTGAGCTTCTCCAAAATAGCCCAGAAATACCCCCTGAACTGCTAAATGTGTGCTCTGAGACATTGAGAAACACAACAACAACAAAAGGCAGACAGCTCCCAATGATGACTCCAAAACTCCAGCTGATGCTTGGAAATGTGTAACACTTCTGAGTGCTTCTGTCATTGCAGGGACAGAACCTGGTCTTAGTTCAATGAATTGCACTTGAAGGTTTGTGGTAAAATTCAGATAGTTTCTGGTAATAACTGATCCATGAAAGCACTTTTTTCTTTTTTTTTTTCCTCTTTTATTTTTTTGGGGTGAAGTCATGCCTTCCTCTGCAGGATCACCCCATGTCTTTTACTTATATTTTCAGCATTTGTGTAATGTTAACATAGTCTTAATAATAATACAAAATTCAACAAAAATAATGCAGGCATTTTGGCAACTGTCTCTTTTTTTTTTTTTTTTTTTCCTCCCTGCAGGAATTTAACCATTTAAATTAGTATGTCAGTAATTTAATTGAAAATGCAGGCACCAGATCTGAATTCTCTTGTTTCTCACATCACAAGAGCCATAGGCATCTGGCAAAGGATGCTGACAAACTGACCTTGTGTTACTTCCTTATGCTTCCTCTGAGAATGTACTGAAATATCTATTAAAGGAATGTGGCAATCATAGATCCTTTTTTTTTTTTTCTTTTTGGAGATGAACCAGAGGCAAAGTTCCATTGCTAAATCAATTAAAAAGAAAACTACAGGTGCTCTTGTAAGGCTGTTCACAGGAAGACAGATTTCCTGATAAATCAGTTCTTCTGACACATTGTTAATGAGAAATTAAGAACCACATTGTACTCTGGGTCTGGGCGACTTAAATTTCTTTTCTTTCTTTGAGTATAAAATATATTGAAGGGAAAGTAGTCCCTAGCAGAAAGTAACTGTAGATTTTTCTAACGTGTGCATTTACATTATCAGTCTAGACACAGGTTGTAAATATGCTGATAGGACTTTCCTTTGCCAACTTTAAGGACAGACAAAAATATTTCCTCTAATTATTAGCAACTAAACCATCTTGTCAAAATACTGTGAAGTAAAGTTTTGAAGGGAGGAGATAGAAATAAACACGCAGCACCTTACTAACAAGTTGGGAGAAGACAGAAGAGCTACAACATGAGGTCAACTCCTAAATACAGCATATCTATTTTGATCTGTTTTCTTCTCCTGTCTTAGGTTTTGACCCTGTGCCTGTGAGTTGCTATGTAAATTAAGCTTTAGTCAGCTGTGCTGGATGTCTTGATGTATGAGTGTGGAGGTTCTGATCCAGCAAAGTCCAAAATCACTTGTAAGAGCTGTGGAGGGATTACTGTCAGCTGTGATGGAAAGTGAAATGTTCAAATACCCTCTCTCTCTGCTTGTGACTGAAATATCTGACTAGGCATCAAAATCATTTTGTTGTGCTATTTTAGATCACATAAGTGGAAAGCAGTCTCAACCAAGAGTCATGTTCTTGCCTGGCCTGTTTCACTGGGGAGTTACCCTTCACAGTAGGACTGGGAAAGGAGAAGCAGGATCCCTCAGTTGTCACAGTTCATGGTCACTGCGAAACTCCAGCCCTTACTTCATGCTGGCATTTCATGTCTGTAACTGCTGAGAAGTCAGCACCTGTTCCTTTTTGTTGCAAGGAAGGTAACCTCATGCAGAAGGTGAGGTTTGCAGCTGAAACTGGTAAGGTGTTAAATTACCACAGCAAATATTTCTAGTCTGCATGTCTGTCTATCAATATTTCAGGGAACTTTACTGTGACCCCCCGCCAAGGGCAGTGAACGTGTTGTGCTAGTCCTAGCTAGCTAGAGTCTCTCGCAGCAGAAGTTAGACTCCACTTTGGACTATCAGATGATATCTGTTTCTCATAACTTTATGATAGCAGATGAAATTGATTAACTGTTCATAGTCAGACTGGTCGCAGATTATTTTTCTTCTATAGATAATTACATTTCCCCTTGAAATTTCACAAAGGCAGTGCTTATGCAAACACATGCATGCATTTACTCCATTTAAAAAAAAATCTTTATTTTCTGTTTCATTATGTTTTGGATAGATAATCTGCATGTCTCTAGGGATACATTCTGACTATGTTTTCAAAGCCTATTGGACTCGTGTTTTACTAGATGGACTGCTTGCTGTCAGTCCTTCTTTTTGTTGCTATATCTCTTTGTTAAACACAAAGAATACTTTTTTACAAAATGGAACTGGATTTTTTCCTTTTTTCAGATATACTAGGTATTCAAAGGCGTGATCCCTAACAGAGCAGAGGAGGTCAGTAGCTAAAGGTCTTCGTGTTTTGCTAATGTAAACCAGAAGAGCTGTGCTGAAGCCAGTAGAACTGAATGAGTTTGTATCAAATGAGGAAGCACTCGATATATTTGATGCAGTGAATGCTTTTAAAATGCAAGTTAGTTGGACTTTTTTTTTTTTTTTTTTTTTTTTTCCTGGTGACTATTTCACTCAGTTGCATCTCATGTACAGTTCATATTATGTTCATGAGGGACTAAACCATACTCTGCTACCATTCAAATCTACATGGACCTGACTTTATGGGAATGACAAGCTTATGAATATTAAGCGGTCTTTTGTTTCTATTTCTGAGGTCAAAGGTAAGAGCTAAGTTGCTAGATCAATAGTCTAATCTTTAAATATGTGCCAAACTGTGGCCTGCCAGCACAAAGTAATTGACCGATCAACATAAGCTGGACCTCACCAGAAATTGTGTGCTTTACCTCATGATTAATTGATGTAAGCTCAAGATACTTTGTCTGACCTTTACTAATTAGTTACAAGGCAAAATCTCAAACAAGTGGGACTCTACATCCAGGCAAATTGCTGCAAGTCTCTGCTGCAGTGGTTTGTGCAGTGCTAATGGGGTTCTGGCTGCATCCTTAGCTGAAGTTCCTCCCTCCAGAAAAAGGTATGAAAATTAGAGGGAAAAAAAAAAAAAAAGACATTGTAGGATGACTTTTTGACCTGAGTAGAAGCACTAATGGAAACACTGTGAATGAGCGTCTGGTGGAGGAACCCCTGGATGTACAAGTTGCCAAACAAGACTCTCCTCTTTTGTTCAGAAAACTGGGGTGGTGTTGTACAATTGCTGCTTACTTGATAATGGCTATTTTTCTTTGCTGCTCCCTCTGCACATGTACAATTTGCAGTATTTAAGGGCTTGCCCATCTTCTCACCAAGTTCACTTGTGAAATCTCTACTAATCTCAATAGTATCAGAAGCATCCCCAGTAGTTCCACATTGCAAAATAAACCATAGAAGTCCTGTTGCTGGGGGCTGCTTGAAGAGGACATTCCATAGCAGCAAAGCAACAAGGTCCTACTAGTCCTCACATCTCCAGCTAGAAGCTCTTCGGCTCTTGGCCCTTATAAGCTCTCTGCTCACCACACATACATGTGCCCAATAGTGGTGAACCTTTAATGTTTCACAGGAAAACCCACATCCTTTAGATGATGGTGATCTCTTGCCTCTTTTCTCATTCTAATCTCCGGGTGTACATCCTCCCTCACCAATGAGCAGCTTTGCATAACAGAAAAGCACTGCTTACAATAGAGTAATTTAGTTACAAGCTAGCAGTAATGGTGTACGGCAACAAAAAGCATAATGCTATACAAAGTAAAACACCGGGGGAGGGAATCAAAGAAAAGGCAAAGCAAAGAAAATCATAATGTGTGTTAAAGATAAATCTTATGTCATGACCTTAAAAAACTCCAGCTGGGATTCTGCTATTCAGAATAGCCCTTGGAAATGATTTTCAAAGGTTAGCTGCATGTGAAAAAGGAACAAAACAAAGTTTGATCATCTAGGGATTTGCAAACATGTTCATGGGAGCCACCAGAAGGTCCTGTACAAATGACCTGAAAGGAGAGAGAAACAGTTCAGCTTTCCAACCAAGCAAGCAGGAGTGAATGTTCTGCAAACATTTGAATATCAAAGGAGGTATTTTAAAATGAAGCCCTACTTCACAGGAAGCCAATTTAATGAACACACACCAGAAAGAAAATAAATTACCAGGCTGGAATACATTACTAAGTGATATCACTCCATTTTGAGGCCTGCCATCTTCCAGAGATTTTTATGCACAGGTCAAGGAACAAACTCTGATCTGAACCTCACAGTACAACTAGTAGGATGAGGGAAAGAAGTGCAGGTTCAGAAAGGACCTGGATTAATGTATAACGTTTGAGAATGCACCTGGAGCCAGCTGCTGCTAGAAAAACAGTAGACACTTGGCATGCAATAATCCTTTCAGCAGGTTTAATGAAGCTTTGTCTCAGATGGTCCCTTCTGGCTTATAACTTCTTATTACTCTGCATCCTTGCTGATTTGTCTATTGCTGATGAAAAGCTACTACTACAATCCCTAAAAGCTGGGCTGGAGCTTGGGCTTGTTTTCTGATGTATCTTTTCATGCAGATGATGGTAGAAAGGAACCTTAAGAAGCAATCTTAGAGATAGGCACCTTGAGTGTAAGTTCCATGTTGGTGAAGGGGAAATTATGTTCCTATCAGTTTAGCACCGTGTAGTCCTATGCACCAGCGACATTCCAACAGGCACTATTTGTTTCACAATTTTTCATTTATATTTTCTGGAACTCCAAGTAGTAGGGCTATTTATGCTCATTTGGAGTCCCATTTTGTAAAAAGGAACCCCAGACACACTGAGTTTTGAGCAGTGGAAGGCCCTGTGCAAGATTTCTGCACGTCTTGCTGCCAGAGCATTCTGTTAAAGTCTAAAGGACAAATGGGTTCTCTGAAGAGTTAGACACATTCATGTCTCTTAATAGTAGCCTGGTTGTTACTTCCAACTCCAGATGTCTCTGCACCACTGATTACAATAAATCAGGAAACTCAATACATCCTCATTATTCTATTCCTCAATTAGCTCTAGACCCCCACTGGAGCTGGGAGGCTGAGTTAGTTGGACTCAGCTCCACGCCTGTTCAATGCTTGTGTCCACCATACATGTAAAAGTTTTTCATAAAATAATCTGGTTTTGATATAGAAAGCCTGACACAGGCAGGAACAATGTAACTAAGCAAGAAATATAGGCAAAGAATCACAAGTATGATGGGAGATAAAGATGAAAAAGAATTATGTCAGTATAGATCCACTGAAGGCAATGAAAACGTGCTGATTTACACAGCTGTAGTCTTTACTAAGGTAACAGTATAAAAGTATCACTGGGAGTATAACAAATGTTTCTTTCTAGACACAACGGATTGAAGCCAGCTACAGCTGTGAGTTGCATGTGCTTACACCAGGGCTTAATTTGGCACAATAGCTATAAACATGAGATGGCTTAGTGAATGATTTATGCTGTCTCTGTAGGTAGCTGATGGCAGAGATCTCCCAGTAAAACCATAGTGGTGAGGTACAAAAAGAGAAGTGAATGGAAGCTCAGATGGTACAACTGCAGTAATCTGTATGACAATATTTGTGTTGTCTAACTCTGCCTGTGTGAGCAAAGGACATAGAGGAAATACATAACAAGAGCCCTAAAAATCCCTGAATCCAGGATGGGCATGCTATTTTGTCTTGTGATGATTTGTTGGAAAGTATAATTCTCCAGGGGCTATCAGATGAGTTGTTCTCCATGTATAAGCTATCAGACTTGGCAGATTTGGTCAGTGGGTTTCCAGTCTGGTTCCTCTTTTCCTGCAGGTGTAGTAGGAGTGGGTTAGTCCTTTTGTTTGCAGCTTGAGAACAGAAGATGGGGAAAATACTCTCTTCTAGGAAAAACTGGTGCAAACTGGCATAGCTATGATTTTCCTTGAGACATTTGGATGGCCCCGTGTCCTGAAAATGAACCACCAGAGCTGAGCAATTTGTTCATACCATGTACCCTGGTGTCATGTTGGGGTATAACAAGTTGGACAAATCCAAAGAAGCAGCTCTGGATCAGCAGGAAGCAACGACAATGGAGTGTACCATGGATTCTGTGAATGAGTGAAAAACCTGTTAATCTCTGAAAACCAGCAAGTATGTGCAAAATAATAGTAGTTCAGATTCATTGCTTATCTAAATGAAGATGTGGTAAACAAAAACTGCTTTTCATATTTTAGATTACCCAGTTACGAAAATATTTTTAAAAGAAAAAAAGATCCAGAGGGAGTTGTATTTCAAATTTACTAATTCTTTTAAATAATACTGGGGGAGGGAGAATCTGGTATGTAGCCATGGATGGGGACAGGACTGTGGTTTAGATGAACTGTGTGTTCCCAGACTAGTAACTCTCACTGTGTTGCTTTGCCTTGGAGAGTAACAACCAAGATGAGACTGATGGCTAAATTGGCCCTCAGAAATGCAGAGAAGACGTGATCTGGAGAACTCAAGTTGGAGCATATGCTTTGCACACAGGGAAATGAAAGCAGCTTTTTTGCAGTCAAAGCAGATCTATAATTATAGATATATACATATAACTATTATTAATAAAAGAAGGTGGAGGGAGATTGTATGTGGAGAATATTTCCAGTCATTAAAGTATGTACTGGAATAGCTAGTAGTACTGTGGTTGGCACACTGTGAACTTCCTGTGTTTTATCTCTGAAACGATGTGAGATCACCCATCTGCTTCTGTTCTGCAAGCTGGTTTCTCCTTGTGAAAGAAATTGCTTTGTATATCCCATCAGGACATAGCTTGAAATATTAGCTTGTACTGTTGACTTTCTCTCTAGCATCAGCCTTATGAGTAGATACCACCAAAGGATTCGTGCATGGTCTGATGTGCTGTGGCATAGGAACCTGCTACCACCTTCTATGCTGTCAATGTAAGGAAACATTCAACAACAGAAGCTAGAGTTAGATTTTTTTGTTCCTTTTTTGAGTTTTCATTTTTCCTTGTTACAATTGGTATTTCCAGTCCGAGAGAACAAGGAAGCAAGAAGGGAAAATGGGCAGGGAAAGGGAGACAACATTTAGCATGCAATCCTCACTTTTGACATCCTTGTCTCATTTGCGTATCTCTTTTGTGTGTAAAGTCTGTCTAAATGTCTCTATAGTGACGTTTGCTAAAGACTTTCCCATATGTGAATCTGTTCTCCCCTGTCCACTCTATTTGACCTGACATTTTCTATGCCAAATGGTGTCTGCATTAGGCTGCATTATTAAAATTTTCAGGGGGGAATGAGGAGAGGAAGTACAACTGTTATACATAAAGGTAAAAAATTGGCTTTTTTTTGTTTGTTTGTTTGTTTTCCTAGTAATTAAACATGAAAATTCTCCTGCCAAGTTGAGGAAGGTAGCAAAGCCAGCATATTCTGCATGACTTCACCCCCTTTGAATTCTACAGGATGACAGCACTGTCTTTCCGGTCTCTGTTTTTAGGGAGAAAACTACTAAAACTTTAGCTAAAGTAATCTCAAAATAAATGTTTGTACTTTTTTTTTTTTCTTCTTTCTTTTTTTTATTTTCTTAATTTGGTTACAAATTCTCAGAAATTTGTGTTGCAGGGTACTCAGGTCCTGAGCAGGGCTTCTGTCATGCTATGACACTGCAGAATTTTGCTCTTCTGGGTATTCAAGATGATGCCAATTAGTATTAAAGCAGCATGCCAAAAAAAAGCAGAAGACATTTAAAGGGCCAATAAGAGGTGTTAAGCCCCCAGGGAGGGTTTCTGTATGGCAGGGCTGCATGCACAGCTGGTAAAGGATGAGGCTGAAGCAACGAGCCCAGGGGCCTGGCCTTTCTCCTAAGGTCTCTTGCTCTTCTGGTTGTTCAGAGATGGGTCAAAGACAAAATACAAATGGGTTGTCACAAATTCAAGGGTATTTACAAAGCATCTAAGGAACTAGTGTGCTAACCATGTTTTGGTGGCTATAGTTTTTAATCACTTTTCTCTTTCTATAGTCTCTTCATGGTCTCAGAGAAGACTATGAAAATTCATCAGAAGAAACCCAACCAGCCCACAACATATATGCTAGCAAGAGAACAGCATTAGGTAAGAACAAAGGCAATAAATGTATGTCCTAAGTGTTGGTTTTATATGTTCGTAATTTTGCACAAGACAAAATACTGAGTAATTTCTACCCCCCCCCCAGCTTTAATTTGCTTCTTGATTTTAAGAAAAAGATTAAGAAAAGCTCCTTCTAATTCTTCAGAGAGTTCTGCATTCAATTAAATATGCAGCAGGTCAGTTTTTCCACTGTGAGGCACTGGAGAACATGTTAAAGGATTATTTTGTCATTGTGGGTGTGAGATAAATTGTGAATAAAAGATGAGGCAAGGGCAGGGGGGAAGAATCATGCTGTAAGAGGAGAAAGGATTTACTCCCTTAAAAGAAGCTTCCAAATCTCTGTCTAATCTTAGCCTCTCTTCTGTGTCCCCTGATATTGCAACACCTCCCTTCCTCTGCCCCCTTTTCCTTCTCACTGACCTCCTGTGCTTAGAAGGTGAACGTTAGAAGTTAAGCCAGCCCAAGCTAAACGCTTTGACAGTATGCAAATTATTTGCCTTAACGCTCCCAGTATGATCACAGCGGAAGTTCCCATTACAGTTGGTGCGGATGGTCTTGGATCCGGTACATAAATAAACAGTTTCATTGAACATAAGTAGGAACAAATGGCCTTGCCACAGGATTAATCCCCCAAGGTCACTTGGGACCCTGGTGTGGGGTTCCCTCTGTGCTGCTGTAGTGCAGGTGTTGAAGCAAATTTGAAGGTAAGCAAGATGAGCAAGTCCATCTAAGAACAAGTAATCAGGAGCAAGCGAAAAGCTTGAAAAAAGCATATGTAATCTTGAGTTCTTGTTTACTTTTAAAGAATAGTGTTGAGTTTTTAAATTATTCTTATTATTTTTTAAGCAACAAGCAAAATACATAAAGTTGATTTTATGCTTGTGCTTGCATATTCTGATGTGGTTGTTCCGTCTTTTTGCCTCAGCAATTTTAATTTCATTTCATTTTTTTTCTGAGTTTCAAGTCAATATGAAATCAATGATATTAGGAAATCTGAGGTACTGTTGAAGATGAGCCCAACTGATATTTTCAGAGCAAGAAGAAGGATTTGGGTTACCCCAGGTAACCCAGCGCAGGTCTTCCCTGTCTTAAAAAATATCCTAATGTCTCTGTCTTACAGAGAAACTAATATAGCAACCAGGCTAGACAGAGAGACTCTCTCCATGATGCTTGGTCTAATTTTTCATCTCTCTTTTGCTTATCTTGTCTTCTAGTACTCGCAATAACTAGTTTCTGCTTACCTCAGTGGTGTTCTACAGATATCTTCCCACCTAAGGTCATCACTAGTCTTATTAGAACAGAGGTCTTAATTTCTGTTTGCTAGTAGTGATAAGCATTGCCCAGTGCTTGCTTTTCACTTGTCTTTCTCATCTTATCAACTTTCTATTCATTCTCTTTCTCACTTAATCAGATTGGTGTCCTCGTCTGCTAAAGGTGTATCCATTATTCGTAAAGAATTTTAAAATAAATAAATACTAGGGAGAATGAAAAAGAGGTACAGCATAGATAATATTCCTCAGTTACCTCAGACTCAATTTCACCACCAAATATAACACAGAGTGCAAATACCCTTCACTTTGATTTGTGATATGGCAGCTCTTGGAAGGGTCTGGTGGGAGAGGTGCTGTGCATGCATTTCATTAGGGCCCTAAACTGCAAACACTCTCAACAACCAAGGCAGAGTCAAGAGGCAAATGAAGGTCTAAAGTTGTGTGTAAAACTAGATGGTACCGTGCACTAGGTCAGTAATCATGAAAAACTAAAATGAAGCTTGCTGACTACCAAACCTGACTTTGGACTGGTCTTGCCCAAGCTGCACAATGGGATCCACCCTCAGCTTCATTTGAAAAACACAACGTGGAACAAACTGGAATTAAATAACTACCACAGCTTCTATCCCATAACTCCTGAATTTGAAGAGAAAAGTATGCTTATATGAGAGCACAGTTTTTACTGTTCTTACAGTTCCCCACTCTCAGCTAAAGATATTAATGTTATTCTCACAGTATTTATTTATAAAGAAAATTTATTCTGGTTGGGTGGGGTGGGGGAGGAGAGGGTGACATTTATGCTGATTTTACCACAGCCTTTTCACTGCCTGTGTCCTTTATTATAGCTGTATTTCTTTCATTGCCTGCTGTTCTGCTGTTCATCCCCTCTTAGAAGTAAAATATTTTAGCAAGCTGACCATCTGATGAAACATTTTTTCTGCTAGGTTCAGAATATATTTATGAAGTAGCATTGGAGGAGTGAAGGCATATAACATTTTCAGACAGTGTGTCACAGTATAAGGGTGATGTAGGTTTATGGGAGATATAAGAGAAAGGAGGGAATCACTTCCTTAGGGTGATTAAGCAGATTTTATTTACAGCACAAACTGGACACATGCAAATTGAGTATCCATTAAACACAACATTGCTTTAGATTTCAGGCAGCTGGAGATGAATGCTTTGGTGTTAATTTTCACCTAACATAGAAATGTTAGATCAAGTTAAGGTTTAGTATATATCAAGTGTTCTTAAGTTAAAAAAAAAAAAAAGGCAAGAAAAGCAGGGATGCTGCTATTACTCTTAGAGAAACTACTACAAGCACAATAAAATGAAAATGCAAAGTCAAATTTTAAGAAAATAAACCATTTAGGGGAAGGAAAAGTGCAAAGCAGTTTAAGCTCTTCCCTCTAGTTTTTCTCCAGATACATATATATGAAGTGTGTGTGTGTGTGTATATTTTTTTTCACATTATTGTGGTAACTGGTGAGAACTGGGAGAAGGCAGGTCTTTGCCTGTATCTTGCCTCTCCCTTCATCTTCAGGGTTGCTTCCCAGCAAAGTCATCTGTGATCTGTGCTTCCTACTGATGCCAAAGTGCATCGGAAGGGAAGCAGCTGAGAGTCACCCTCCTCGTGCAGAAGGCATCAGGTGATGGCCGACTGAGAAATGAGGTATATTCACCCAAGGATCTGACCTGAGGTCCCAGGGGAGACAAAGAGGATGAGACCTCTGCTGGGTCTGGCACTGAAGCTGCTAATTAGAGTGAGGGAGAAATTAATAAAAGTGAAAGAATGTATAAGTGGCAGCCAGGACCACACCTAGTGATGACTGAGCAGTCATGGTACCCACTGCTCTTCCATACATATTATGAAACTGTTTTTTGCCCACATCAAACCAAATACAGAAAACCCATAATGGGTTTGTGGCTTAAAATGAATTTACTTGCCCGATGGCAGAACAGGGACCAAAAACCCCACTCCTCTGGTGAGTCTCAGACCTGTTCCAGCTCATGGTATTTCCTATGCAAAATCCCATTGTCATCAATCTGAGCCACTGCTCTCTGTAAGGAACAGATTCTGGGAGCAAGGGGGGAAGGATACTGTCCTCGCTTGCAGATGTGCAGATTAGGTGCATTTCTTCAGAGTTAGACCCATGTTTCTGGGGGGACAAATAGGTAAGCATGGAGCAGGATGGCATTTACACCTTTTACTCAGCACCACATGCTTTGCACATATTCACCTTCACTATCTCTCCGGTCTTTTTTTGCAGGAACAAAATATGTTGAAGTGTAGGAGATAAAAATCTCACTGGCTTTACAGGTTTCAATTAAATATATCTATTAATGTTATCCTCATGTGCTTATTTATAAAACGAATTTATTCTTTTCTGCAAGTCATTCACACAGCTGCTGCTACTGCTATCAAAGCGCTTTCCTTGACTTCATATTTTAGTATCAGCATATTTCTTTAGCTACTTTCTATTCATCCCACCTTAGAAATAAAATATTTCATTGAAATGTCCATCTGATAAAATATTCCTCCTTAGACATATATTTACTCAAACAGTATTTGAAAAGTAAATTTGTATAATGTTTAAGGCAGAAAGCGGTGCCAACATCAATAAATTAGTGGCTGGCTAACCTGCAGTTTTGTAGGCATTCTCTTCCTGCAGTAATATACAGTATATTGTGGTTAGTAGCGATATACATGCTCCTATAGATCCCAATTCCAGCACGACTTATGTACATGATTTGAACAGAGTGACGTGCTCCAGTTATCCAAACTGGAACAGGCTTTAAGTACATACCTACTTGAAGATTGAAGCTTCCTTGGACCATTTGGAGTCTCACAAAATCATGTATTTTATGAATTCCCAAACTGTGTGAAGAGCAGAAGAGCTTCAGTAAAATACAGAAGAGTATTTATGACATATTAAGATAGGGTTCATTGCAAACTTAAGTATAGCTTTTAATCTGGAAAATATTGCATTTTGGATTCAGAGTTCAACTGCATCCCAAGGCCCTGAGCAGAATTTCCCATTGACCCACAAGGTTTCATCAAGGGTCCAGGGCAGTCAGCTACCAGTGCCTACATCTCAGCGCTGCTGGTGAGTTCTTCTCCCCTTTGACTGCATTACCAACTCTGAAGCCTGAGTTGTTTCTTGCTCATTACTTAAGTGAGAGACAGTCAAGGCAAAGCCGTGGCTGAGACTGGAAGAGTTGCTTGCATTTCACTGTACACAGATCTGTGGTGCACAGATCCCTGCTTCATTCACCTGCTCTAGAGCTTCTTTCTGTAGCCTTAGCTGTATGTCCACTTGGTCCAAATTGATGAAGCCATGTGGCTTGAGTGGTGCAAGATATGCTCCCTGATATGCTGTAATGAGACTTCAGTGTGACTGAACACTTGAATGTTGTGAATGTGACACATATTATGAATTATACAGGCCAGAATAAAATGCAAGAATTTACCTCACTGTACAGGAGCCCATTTCCACAATCTCTTGTTTAATGCATTACATGTCCTGTCCAAGGAAGCCTGAAAACACAAGGGGATTGAGTGCAACGGTAAGTTGCCATAGCTGTGCTGCTGGCTCTCAGGGTTGCTTTTGTGTGGGCATTTTGGCAACTGGGGACTGTTTGTGTATTACAGCAAACAAGGGACTCTTCTATGTCTGACCAGCGTTTATGAAAGGCTTTGCAAAAGATATAAGCTGT